CCAATGATGTTTACCAAAACCTGGCTGTGGAAGACTGGATCCACGACCACATGAATCTGGAAGGCAAGTCAATTCTCTTCTTCTGGAGGAATTCTCCCTCTGTTGTAATTGGCCGGCATCAAAATCCTTGGCAGGAATGTAACCTGAATCTGATGAGAGAACAAGGCGTAAAATTGGCTCGGAGGAGAAGTGGCGGCGGAACGGTCTACCACGATATGGGTAATGTCAACTTGACTTTCTTTACAACCAAAAAAAAGTATGATAGGATGGAAAACCTGCAATTAGTTGTGAGAGCTCTGAACGCTGTCCAACCCCACCTGGATGTGCAGGCTACCAAAAGACTTGACCTTTTACTTGATGGGCAGTTTAAAATCTCAGGAACAGCTTCCAAGATTGGCCGGACCACTGCTTATCACCACTGCACTTTATTATGCGGTACTGACAGGACCTCTTTGTCCTCTTTGCTGAAGAGCCCTTACCAAGGGATCAGGAGCACGGCCACTGCCAGCATCCCTGCCTCAGTAAAAAATCTCATGGAAAAGGATCCCACTCTGACCTGTGAAGTAGTGATAAATGCTATAGCTGCAGAGTATGCTGCTTGTCATCAAATTGATAATCACATTACCCTAATTAACCCAGCAGATGAGACGCTGTTTCCTGGAATAAACAGCAAAGCCAAAGAACTACAGACCTGGGAGTGGGTATATGGCAAAACTCCGAAGTTTAGTATAAACACTTCCTTTAATGTGCACTATCAACAGTCACACTTGGAAATTAAAGTATCCATAGACATAAAGAATGGAAGAATTGACATGTGTAACATTGAAGCACCTGATCATTGGTTGCCACTGGAAATATGTGACAAATTAAATTCAAGTTTTATTGGTAGTAAGTTTTGCCCCATTGAAACTACCATGCTGACAAGTCTGTTACATAGAACGTGTCCAGAAGACGATGAACTACACAGTAAGTGGAATATTCTCTGTGAAAAAATTAAGGGAATAATGTGATTCCAAGTAAATTTCTTAATATTGGCAGTTTCAATGAGAAAATAAAAATGTTTCAAGTACATTATATGTCTCTTAAAATAAAAAAGGCCCACTCATTCAGTAACTTCTCCTGTTTGAAACTGTCCATCACCTACCCTTGTCCGTATTTTCTGCTGACCTCTAGGATACTCTGTCTCTTTCTGCAACGATTTTCATACCTGGCAGCATTTGTATTCCAGCTCCTTCCTCTGACCATCTTGGGGTTGTACGACAACTGGACACTGACCTCAAGAGTTAGTTCTCTTTCTTGCCTCTGGGGAAGAGAACCCAAGCTTCTTGCTACCTCTCATACCTTCAACTCTGAACTTCTCCCTTTTAGTTATATTTTCTTACCCTTCTATCCTTTCCACCAACTCAAGCCTGTTGCACTTTCTAAGCCGGTAACTCTTCCCTTGTCTCTTGCTTCATGTCCCTTTCTTACTAGCATCCTCCTTTGCTTCTCTTGATCTGTCACAATCTATCATAGCCACCTTTTTTTTTTATTCCACAACTGATTTTCTATATCCTAACCCCAGATGGCAGGCAATGCTAGAAGAAAATTCACCTAACCATGCAGATTGACCCAATTTCATCGTTTTCAGCTTGTGTTTCTTTGTTGTTGGTGTCAGACTCAGCTCAGCTCATATTTAGGATTGGTAACACAACTGAACAATGAATCCATAAATTAGTAGAAACGTAAAAATTTATTGTTAAATTCATACATTATAGGAATGATCTGTCCAAAGTAAAAAAAAAATCCAGTATTCATGTAAAATAGAAATATATAATGTAAATTAGGTTACTACCCATCATATTTTTTTTGTGTGCTTGTTATGAAAAATGTCCACTGTCGTTTCATGACATGGTCTTAAATCAAAATCACAATATCCAAGGGAAAAACGACTCTAAGAAGAGAAGAAAAGAGGTTTGATTTTTTTTTTAACAAAAAGGACCAGAGCCATTTTGTTAAAATAAAGAGTGCTACACAGTCACTCGTAAGACTATATCCTACCTGTGGTTTCTTAAAATAATCAAGACCCCTTCCAATCTTAATCATCCATCCATTGTTGAACCTATTGAAATGAGAGTATATAGAATTATATTCTAGACATTTAAGTGTGACAATTGTCAAAGCTGTAGTTTATTAAGTGTCAGCTAAATTTCCCCATGACAAGTAAAATCACTTCCTTCAGCGACACAAGTTGAACCAAACCTGGGGTTACCTATGGGCTGTGTCTATGACACAAAGCATCCAGAAAACCATCAGTTGACTTGTTTAGCAGATAAAAGAGTTTAATCATTAAATGAAACCTTCTTCTTGAATTTCATCTTGCTGTTGAGACTTTCCTGCTCTGCTAACAAGTGGCTTCCAAGTGTACCCAGGCAGACTGTGCAGGTGTTTCAGGGCTTCTGCCTAGAGGTGGGGGGTGTGAGCAGGAGGCCCTCTGGTGGGCATGACACAGCGTACCACCACGCCTACTAGAATGTTTCACAGACCATGAGAAGTAAAACCACATTAAATAGATATTAGCATCCCTAGGAAAGGAAATTATCCCAGTGCCATAACACTATGTGTTCAGCTGAGTCGACAGAAAAGTAATTCCTCTTCTCACACGACATAGAACATGTAAATTTTACTCCATTAGGAAATATGAAACTCACATGCAGGACAAAATAAGCCCGATTTTTTTTCTCCCAAAAGTGAAAAGATACTAATATTGAGCTTTATTGAAATGTTTAATATTTAAATTGAGTATTAAATGCAACTATGTAAAACTGATTATAAGAAATAAAAATAAATATTTTTCAACTGCATAAAAATTAAAATACTCTATCCCACTAACCTAATTTCTCGGTCGTGTATCGAAGAAGAGTATTCTAATTCCAACAGCACTCCGTGACTCCTGAGTGACTCTTCTATTTCCTTCAGGCCACTACTTTGCTGCTCTTTCCCACTGCCCTGTGAACAGGAAAAATGCAATTTTCTGCCTCAGTTATTAGTATTTTAAATTATTCCTAAACTATGCAATGTGAACCATAGGTGAATTAAAATGGAAAGATTCTATACTAGATTCTCTGTTCATTACCTCAAAGAAGCAACCAAAGAATATGAGGTAGTTTAAGAGCAATTGATTTATCAAAATAATTGGTTTTTTCCAATGTGAACACAACTCTGTCCCATCTTCTATCATTTTTTTAAATAATTCTGTTTAGTTATTCAGATGGGGCTTCCTTCTTCTCAAATTAATCCTAGAAATAGGAGTTGTTTAGAAGCATTCCTATTTAAATCAAAATCAAGATAGAGATGATAGAAATTGTCAATAGTACAGACAGTACTGACAAACTATTTGAATAAGAGAACTTAGCAAAGTGACCAAATGCAAGATACAACATACTAAAATCAATGCATTTCCCCCAAGGTCTTTTATGCCTGTAAGTTCATTCCCAGGGGAACGAGCTCTGGAGCACGATGTCCAGGTTTGCCCTCAGACTACAACCAGCAACTGAGTAAAGACAATGAAGGTAAGAAAGAGTACATGCTCTCAGATACCTACTTCTTCCAGGGAGGTGAGAAGATGGATAGTTTTTACTTTACATGGTCCCTTGACAAGCATCTCACAAAATCGAAGAAAGTTATACAGCTGAAAGACAGGAGGAGAATTTGTTTATTACTAACTGGTACATTTTAAATAACAACTTTTCATCATATTTGAGTGCAGTTCACCTACCTGATGAGTATGTCTAATATAAGGGTCTTCTATCCAAACTTCCGTAACTGTTTCATTCAGGTATTCTTGAAAAAGTGACTCATAACTGAAACCTGTCGCATTCTCTTCTATTTTAATTTGCTTGTGGTATTTTCCAGCTACAAAACACAAGCTTCAATAATAAAACCAGTAACTACTTACATTCTGTTTATACATATTACATATATATACAGTGATAAATCAGGATTGATCCAAGTTGACTGTTTTTTAAACTAGTGCACTCAGCAAACATCTCCCAATGTCTACTTTGTACTGACACACTGCAAGACGCTGCACACACAAAGGTAAACAAAACAAACCACTCCACGGGAGATTTCTGCCTTCACAGGGGCCAGGCAAATGGGAAAGTCTAGAGATTTGGAACAGTTTCTTGAGCTGAATCCCATAGATCAGGCAGTTTATTCAAGAGAGAGCCATATGTACAACATTACAAATCGACTATATTCAATAAAAATTTTTTTAATGAAAAAAAAATTTTTTAAAGAGAGAACCAAACATATAAAGGTATCTAATATTCCTGTCACCATGAGTAGAACCACAAGCTCTAATTCAGTGGCCATCTGGTCCTTCTCTTCAGATTTAAGTCTTTTTATGTCTTACAATTTAATAGTTAAAGTATTAAACATATAAACACAGCATAATATGGAGTAGAGAGTGTTTTAAGCAGAAATTTATAGCACTTAACAATCCAAGCCAAAGACGAATGCCACAGGGCCAGCAGGGTCGTGCCATTGTTTTTGTTCATTCAAAATGAAAAATTATTAAGTTATCTAAGGCCTTTAAGGTTTTTTTTTTCTTAATATGACCCTTAATGGTAGTTTCTAATTTATATGGTAGTGGCACTTTTAAACTTTGGTTGAAAACCAGTACTTTGGATTCTGTTCCCAGTATTTCTGCAGACAGAATGTTCAAAACCAGGCATTGGTTTTCGAGCCACGCCAGCCACGGAGGTTAATTTAACCTAGTGTATTCAAACCACAATGCTGGTGGTTCTGTGTTTCATCAGTGTTTTAGAGGGACACTGCATCGTAGATTTCAATTTGAGATGAAAAAAACAATTTTATTTCCTCTCAACAGAGGAGTTCAGTGTGGGTATGGGCTAGTGCAGGGTCTCAGGAAGACGTGGGGAGGGGGCGGTTCTAAGGACAGTGAGGAAGAGCAGCTGCAGGCTGGAGGCAATGGCTTTTGGGGGTTTTGGAGGGGCAGGTCTGGCACTGGGTTTTTGCAGAGAGCAGTCCCTCTGGCTGTAGAAGGCAGCAGCGATGAGCAGGGGGCGGCAATGGCCTTTATGTCCATTTCTTTGTAAACTGGATGCTCAAGAGTAGAGAGCCAACAATGAACAGGGAACCACACTCCTGCATCTCTAGTCATCAGGAATATCTAATTTCTGAAGCATTTTGATTCACAGCAAAATCTCAAAGAAGTCCCAGCAGTTTCCTGAGCTATTTTAATATTTTGGTCATTTTATAAGAGGAAATACAAACAAAACACAGGATTTACGTTTAGTATTCCACAGCAGCATTGCTTATCCAGGAGTCCACACATGAGCTTCATGGGGATCTGTGAATTCCTTAAAACCGTGTGCAAAGTTCTGCAGTAAGTATCGCTGTCATCAGATTCTTAGGAGGGCATCTGACCCCTACCCTCCCACTGAGAGAAAAAAGAAGGTTAAGACTAGCTCATTACAGGCGAGCAGAAATGCAGAGGAGATGTGCGAGCCCTCAGGGATAAACGGTCCCAACCATGCACAGCTCCAACGGGCACAGCCAGAAACACTGGGTGAAACAACAGCTTGTGCACACACTCTGTGAAACAGCCTCCTTACCTTCTTTTTCTTGATCCAAGTATTTCTTTATGTTTTCTGCTCTATCCATGTACTCCGAAATTCTTTTTCTGAGATTACATTTCTTTGTTTCATCTTTGGTACCTACAAATTAAAAAATAAACTAGCAGGTTTCAAAAAAGGTTTCCTGTTTGGTACAGGTATTATTTCTCTTATCTCAGGTTATCCAAAGATTTCCTACCCTGTGGCATGGCTTGCCTTGGTCCTAAAATACACAAATAATAGGCCCAAATTTGGCTTAATCATGTAGGACCTTTATTTTTGCACTACCCATCTGAAGCAGCTTTATTTAGAAGTGGGGACTCTGACACACTGTGTGTCACTGCTGGGGACACCAAATCTGGGGAAGCAACAAAAGTGGCTTATTACGTGTCAAACCTGAGTCTGAGCACTATTTTGTCATAATTACCCATCAGTTTGAAATCTTAGCTTAATCAAAAGATAGCAAAAATATCTTTTTCTTCCACAAAACCAGCTTCTCTTCCAGACTTCTCCTTTATGTTTATGCTCAATAATTTTCCCAGTCACCTCAAAAATGTAAGGTATTTCTGAATATACATTATCAATAAAATCTTACCCCAGACCCTACCCTCAATCAGTCACCAATTCACTTCCGGTTCCTTCCCTCCTCCCTTTTAATATTGCTTTTATTTTCTACTATAATTTCATTTTTAAATACTGTTTTTCAAAACATTTTATTTTGAATTAATTTTATATTTATGGAAAAGTTACCAAAATGGCACAGAATCTCTTCAGATTCCCCCAACAGTAACGTATCACATAACCATAGTACAATAATCAGAGTAAGGAAATTAACAATGAAACAACACTATTGGCTCGAAGCATCTGGAGTCAGAATGTTTTAGTTCAAAGCTTGCTTTGTCACTTTTGGCTGTGTGACCTTGGTTAGTTACTCAACCTCTCTGCATCTTCATCAGTTAACACAGAAAGAGTAATAGTACCTTAGAGTGCTGTGAACGTGATTAATCATGAAAGAGACTGGCATGTAGGAAATACTCAGTGTCATCAATATCATCATCATCTACATAATTATTTCCCGTACATCTCACGCTGGGCTTCCTTTAGAGACCCACATCATCTAACATATCTTTTCTTAAACTCACTGTCCTTTGCTACTGCCTTTGCTCTACTTTCCCTGTCCTCTGTGAATGTAGTTGTCCTTTGTTAATCATCATCCTTGATCAGCTGGTAGAAATTTGATACCACAGATCCACTCTTCAAACATGCCTTGGTTTTCTGAGCTTGAAATCACACAGCTATTTTTGATTCCCATTGGAACCTCACTTCCGCATCCAATCATGTGCCAATGCCAGCAATTCAATATCCACTCTTTCCCCTCCTTTTCCTAATACTGGTGTTACCCACCCTCCCAAGTTCATTCAGGCCCTTATCACCTCTCATCTTGATTCCTGCAGGAGCTCCCTAACTGGTCTGCCTGACTTCAGCCTCTTCAGGTTAATGTCTCTCCGACACTCTTGCCATACTCATTTATTCGAGGGGTATTTATTGAGAACTTACTGCATGCCAGGCATGGTTCTACTCACTGGGGACATAGCAGTTAATAAAACAAGCACAATTCTCCCCTATCATTCAAGTTGGAGGAAAGACAATAATAAAAATACACTGGCAAAACATGTACATTAGATTGTGATAAGTTCTATTAAAGAAAATAAAGCAAGGAAGAAGGGTGAGGGGGTCTTGGGATGGGGGCTGTAATTTTATGCTGGCGGTCAGGGAATGGCCTCTTAAATAAGGAGGTATTTGTGTAAATACTTGAAAGAGGAGGAGTATGCCACACAAATATTTGGGAGAAGAGCATATTCCTAAGAGAGACAAGCCCTGAAATGCAACTTTCATTACATCACTCCTTCGTAAAAACTTCAAATGGTTTTCCCTTGTCAATAGAAAGAGTTAACATCTCCTGGTAGTCAAGGCCAACCACAGTGTGCTCCAAGCCCCGGTCTACCTTTAAACTTTACTTCTCACTCTTCCTCTATAGACATATGCTAAACCACACTGAACCGCTTATTTGGTAAAACGGCACAGACAGGATTTGAACACTTTTAGCTGAATTTCTGAAATTCTACTTACTCTTCCAAAGCCCGTATCAGAAGCCACCTCCACCTTTCCACCCTGAAATGACCTTTAGCTGTTTAAATAGTCCTTGCACTTGTCTACATCGCTCTTGGAACTTATTCCCTGTGTTAGAATTACTTGCATTTATGGCTGAACCTGCAAGATCATGTCACTGTTTCTGTAATCACTACATCAGTGGAGCACACAGGGGCAGATCTCCTGGGACTCCCCTGCTTCAGATTCCAGCACTGTACACCATCTCTCTTCTGGGGAGTCAGTACAGCAGAGTCTTTAAAGCTTTGGGTTGCAATTGTAACTCTACCAATTGTGGCAGAACTGGGAAGCGAAATTTACTTTTTTATGCTGTGAAATAAGGATAACATCACCTCCTTTATCAGAGGGCAATTGCAAGGATCAAACAAAATCATGCTTTTAATGTGCTCCGCACACTGCCTGACACACAGCACTCATAAATGACAGCAACTCCTTCTGTCATCATCACCATCGTCATCATCAAATGGTCCCTGCCCAAGGTAGAGTTTTATAGTTCTGAGAAAAGCACCCAACCTTGAAGAGTGGCCTCTGCTGTCTCAAAGTTTCTAAAACACAAATTATAAACACTCAAGCTAAAAGGCACTGAGGAGGGTGGGGAGTAGGGACTGGTCTTAAGTCACTTTGATACATAATTACTATGTACCAGGGACTGTCCTGGGTGTTAAGAGTTATGTGGGTACCTCTCAACACTGAATAACTGGAAAAAAAGTCTTAAAATCCTATGCATTTCTCACACCGAATTTCAGTACACCCATTTCCCATAAAAAAAAAACCTTTCTTCTTCTACCTCGAGATGATCTTATTTTCGTTTACTTTCAATGAACATGTTTAATGAGAAAAGAAAGTAAACGGGTGTAATGAATACATTTTTACCTATCACCTAGATTTTAAAACTGCTAGCAGTTTGTCATATTTGCTTCAATTTTCTTTTAAAGTGAAATCAAAGTCAGACATCATGACAATTCTTCCCCCAAACATTTCAGGCTGCACCCCTAAAATTAAAGACAGATTTCAAAGAAACACCATACAGCCTAATAAAGTTAATTTTAATGCTACCTAATCCATATTAAAACTTTCCAAATTGATCCTAAAATATCTTTTACAGTTCGTTCAAACTCAAGTCCTATCAAGGCTTATATATGACATTTGGTTATATGGCCCTTAAAATTCTAGAATAGTAGTCCCTCTTTTATTGACATCAGTCCATTAAAGATAAAAACAAAAACAAAAACAAAAAAACCCAGTACACTTGTCCTGTAGAATATTCCATCTTCTGTATTTGCTGGTTTCTCGCGGTGCATAGGTTTCGTTTTCACTCTCACTCCGCCCAGAGACAGCGGAAGGCAGCTCCTTTTCGTCTAGTCCTCTCTCCCCGGCTCATCGCTCACCTTTGAGAACCTGCAGGAGCAGGTCAATCCCCTCCTGGTAACACACCAGAGCCTGCGGGTACCGGGACTCGGACTCTAGTTCCAACGCCCGCTTTATCACAGCGACTGCAGCTGTGCTCCCAGGGTCCTGCCCCGGCCCGGACCTCGCCATCACCCGGAAAACTCGCCTCCGCCTCTATCTGGACCAGGGAGGGTGGATCAGCGAGTTCCAGGAGCGGCCACGTGACACGAGCGCGCCTGCGCTCTGTGTGGATGGCGCCTGAGTGGGAGGGACTCGGCCGGAACTAAAGTGCTCCAGTGTGCACACTGTGACGGCCAGGTTTGAGTGTGACGTTCTTGGTCCTTCCACTTCCGAGCTTCCCCTCGGAGGGAAACTTCCGGCTGAACGACATTTAGCAATCTCAGGTGAGTGGGGAACTAGTGGCCGAAAGCATTTTGCCACGAGTTCATATCTGGAAACTCTATACAGACGCGGATTGATTTTTCTCTGTTCAATTCAGGGTTTGCGGGTCACGGTAACTGAATGGGTCTGCGGCCAAAGACGTCCCTTTGGCTCCTGAAAAGCCCTTGGCAGACCGGACTCTGTTTCCCATTTCGAGGGATCCCGGGACGCGGCCTGTTGAGCCCCGCGTCCTGGAGCCCGTGGACAGAGCCCCCTCAGCTGGACAGACTGAGGGGTAAGGGAGTTCAAGTCTGTTTTTAGCATTTTTTGTGCTTCTGCTTTATTCATAACTTAAGCTTTCCACTGGGGTCAGCCTAAGTAGAATTTTTTTTTTGCTAATGGAGATGCAGGGTTCCCTGATATAAAAACTGCATTTTTAGAAGGCAAAACCCCCCGGAATTGACAGTTTAAATATTTACCGTTTTACTAAAAGACGTAATTTTGCAACCATGTTTTGATCACCCCCTACCCAAAGCTGCGTGTTCTGCGATTTTTTTGGTTGTTTTTTGACTCTTGCACTTACGAAGACTGCCTAAAGTAGTTAGGCATTAAGAGTTCAAAGAAGAAACATTTCTTGCCTTTAGAGATACTGGTTTATTGAAACGGAACTTACATGTTCTGCATTTTCTCTAGTGCCCCCCCATCATTAAATAGATGTCTTTTTAGAAAAGGAATTCGTTTTTTTTTTTTGAAGAACGGTAACATGCATGGTCATAGTAAAAACAACAACAAACCTATCACACATTACAAGGGGGAATAAAGGAAAAGGCGCCCTGGTAGCCTACCCTCCTCTCCTCAGGGATGCTGACGTTTGTCTGATAGCCTTCCAGAGTTTTTCTGTGTTTATACGCACATTCACAGACACCCCCCCTTTTTCTTTAGTGGAAATGGGATCATACTTCTCATATGAAGCATTTCTTTTCCTGCTTTTGCGTCTGTGCAAGAGAAAACTTACTGTACAGTAAAAGACAGTATGATTGCTTCAAGGTCAACAAGTTTTGTGCGGAATTATTAACAATAACTTTTACTTTGTTAAAACTTACAACTTTTGATGGTCACACCTTCTGAATTCTGTAAATGAAACTTCATTCAGCAAAAATTAATTGGCTTCCACATGGCAGTGCTGCTTTAGGTAGATGCTTGGGATACATCTGTGAATAGAACAAGTCAAAAATAACACAAAAATTTAAAAATCATTGTCCCTGTGGCACTAACATGGTATTGGGTGGAAACTGACTATAAACCACAAACCTAACAAATAGTTAAAAATATTAGAAGATGATAAGTGCTTTGGAAAGAAAATCAAGTATGGTGAGAGAGGTCGAGAGTGCTGACAGTTGCAGTGTGGGTCAAAGTGTTAAATAATGGAATCAGGGTAGACCTCGTGGAGAAGTTGAGGTTTGGGCCAGAAGTTAAAGGGAGTAAAGGGATTAGCTGCCTGAATGTCCAGGGCATTCCAGTCAAGGGAGCATGCCTGCTCGGCAGGCTGGGGACCTGCTATGGGGCCAGTGTATATAGCGATGGAGCAAGAGAGTAACTGAAGATGGAGTCCTCAATGTGGGGGTTAAGGACTGGCCCTCAGTCTGATTGAAATGGAGAGGAATTGGAGGTTTTTCGTTTTTTAATAAGAAAACTTTTTAACATTAGAATAATTTTAGATTTACCGAAAAGTTGTGAAGACAGTATGGAGTTCCTGTAGACCCTACCCCACGTTTCCTTTTATATTAACGTCTCACATTAGTATGGTCAGTTGCTATAATTGATGAACCAGTATTGGTGCATTATTAACTAAAGTTCAAACTTCATTCAGATTTTCTTAGTTTTTACCTCATGTCCTGTGACTGCTCCAGAATCCCATCCAAGTTACTACATCACGTTTAGTTGTCAAGTGTTCCTCTTGACTATGACAGTTTCTCAGACTTCCCTTGGCTTTGATGACCTTGACAGTTTTGAGGCGGTCAGGTATTTGAGGGGGTCCTGGTCAGGTATTTTGTACAGTGTCTTCCAGCTGGAGTTTGTCTGATGCTTTTCTGTTAGAGTGGTGTTAGGGGTTTGGGGGAAGGAAGACATAGAGGTGAAGTGCCATTCTCCCTCGTATCAAGGATATGTGCATCAGCTTGACTTTCATCACAGTTGATGTTAACCTTGGTCACCTTGAAGATGTAATGTTTTCAGGTTTCTCTAGTGTAGTGGTATCCCCCCCTTTCCTATACTGGACTCTGGGAGCAAGTCATTAAGCATATCTTCTACTTCAGGGGTGATAACTTTACTCTGCCTCTTGGTGGGGGAGAACAGCTACATAAATTATTTGAAATTCCTCTGTAAGGGAGATTCATTTCTTCTCTCCCACTAATTAATTTATTTATCTGAATGTATCAGTATGGACTCATGGTTATTTTATGTTTTGGATTATAAGCCAATATTTTGTTACTTATTTTGTTGCTCATATAATTTCAGCTGTAGCCGCTGGGGGCCCTTTCAGTTGGCTCCTGCATCCCTTTGACATACCTGCATCATTTTGATTTTTTTTTTGAGTAGTTCCTTTATAGCACTACAGGATACTCCAGGCTCATCTTTGTGTGTTCCCTGATGCAACCCTATAATCAACCATTTCTCCCAAGAGCCCTGGTTCCTTTTATCTGAGAATGCTATTAGAAACTAAGGTCTGGGCACTAGGTGTGCTCATTGCTACTGGGATACCATTGCTTTTAAATCCTCTCAGCTAACAGAGCTAACCCATGGGTGTGTACGTATCTGTAATTATTTATGTATTTATCAGTATCTATATTAAGCTGAATGTGAGTTCCAACACAGATCTGTATCATTGGATCATGTGTATCATTCTAGCCTTCCTCTCTGTCTTATGTGTGATCTCCCACTCTAACAGTGAGAAACCTGGCTCTTTGGAAGGCTTTGGGTTGGCATGATCTGATTTCGGATTTAATGAGATGACTGCTGCTGTGGAAAAAAGACCTTAGGAAAGTTAGAATGGAAGCAGAAAGGCTAGTTAGGAGGCTTTTGTTAAAATCTAAATGATAAGAGATTTAACAAAGCCTGAAGCTAAATAACTTGGGTTAGTATCTAATGCTTAACCTGGGAGGAAGATGTATGGTAGAGAAAACAATTGAGCATTACGTATTAATTCAGACACTTTTCAGCAAACACTGGGTGCCTGCTGTCCATCAGATGGTGTTCTAGATGCTGAGAGTAGAAGATGAACAAGACAAAATTCTCGCTTTCAGGGCACTAAGGATATAGAGTTAACTCTTCTAAAACTGATACGTAATTAATTTTGAGACTGGTTCTGTTGCTGAGAATTTTTCTAAGTCAGGCCCTTTTAAGGGGACATCTTGCATTGATTCCCACAATTTCATTGTTTTGTCCACATCATAGGAAAGACCTGCAGAGCTTGAGTGAGCCAGACACTGGTGGACACTGAAATACAGCACGTGCCCTATTTTGGTATGTTAGGGTATTCTTATTATAGTAAAGCTCTGTAATAATTTAATAATTTTATAATAGTAAAAGCTACCATTTATTGAGGTCTTCCTATGTGCCAAGTACGGTTTTAGGTGTTTTTAGAATAATTCATTCGCAAGATAGGTATTTTCCTTCTGTCCTTTGGGGGGAAAATTGAAATGCACAAATTAAGTAACCTATTCAAAATATACATGTAGTTCATGAACCTAACCTTTCTGCATTAGTTTAAGCCAGTATAGTAGGCTATCATTGTTTTGTATCTAAATAAACATGACTTTTAGGTTATAAAAGCAGTGCATGTTCATTAAGAAGAGCTTAAAAATACAAATAAGCAAGAGTTCTGCTTTACTTTTTCACAGGAGAGTATTAAGATTAGTGAAAATATGCTGGACTAGGTATTAGAAGAATTGAGTTCCAGACCATTAACTCTCTTAAAAGCTGGGTGCCCTTGGGTAAATGATTTTCTTCATAAGTAAAGTAAGAGGATTGTCATTTCTAATTAGGATTTGAGATTTCTTCAGTCCTTTCCTGCTCTTTAATTTTTTTGATTCTGTAGCAAAGCATTCTTTATCTGCCCTTGCTGTTGAAGTTTTTTTAAATGATAGTAACCTCCATTGCCCATTTTTGTTGAATCAACCTAGGGTTTAAGTCTTTAGTGAAAACAGGATGTGATTAATGCATAATTACTACCTGTAGTTTTCTTGAACTCTGAATAAATCATTCATTATAACTTAATTCTTATCCTTATTGTATTAAAACAACCGAGATTTTACTGTTAAACATCATTCAGTTTAACAATTTGCCTAGTTTTTTGTTACTACAGAAGGGGAGGGGCTATCCATTTCCAAGACACATGTGACCCCCGGATCTGTTTTCTGCTTCTCACAGCCTCAAAGGAGAACTGTCACCATACTCATGGCAGGGATTTTGCGCTCCATAGTTCAGAGGCCCCCAGACAGACTACAAGTAAGTGTTTCTTTTCTAGAACTAACTTTTTTTCCTATTCCTTAAGAATAGGACTCCTTAAGAACTTTTTCTCTTTTCTAATTAATAAACATACAGGCAAGTTAAACTTTTAAGTTCTTTTTTTTAAACATATTAATTTTTTTTAATGTTGAGGGTTAATTTTGTTAATTTATGGTTTATCTGCTATTTTATTCCTAAAGATTTAGAATCACAAAAAGACCTGTTCCTGGAGAACATGGTCTTAAAAGATGGGTTGTGCTGATTCCCCTTGGTCTGCCTTAATCTTTTTTAAGTTTTAGGGTTTTTTCCCCCTTCAATTATGAAAAGAGTCCATTTCCAATCAGAGAAAATTAGAAAAATACAGAAAAACAGAAAGAAGAGAAGCAATTTCCAGAGACCATTACTGTTTGTACTTTCATGTATTTCCTTCCAGTCTTTTAGACATTGCAGGAGTGTAGCCTAATCCATTCATGTGGGCCAGAGTCTAGATGTGACCCTCTGCTGCCTTTAGATGGTAATAATATGGGGTGCTCTACATACTTACCTTAACCTCAGATTATCCTGGGTGGTCAGTATCATTTCCTTCTTGTAGCTGAGGAAGCCGACCCTCTGCGAGGGCCAGTATCTCACGTGTCACAGCTGGTAAGTGCAGGGCCCGCATTAGATGCCCCGTGTTTCTGGTGTGTCAAGGCCCAGGTCTATCAGGCCTCCTCCCTGTCCCTCTCGCCATTTCCCTCCTGCTTATTCTCCCGTTATTTCTGCCATCTCTGCAGTACCGGGAGGGTGTGAAGGGAAAGATCACTGCCCACCCAGAAAGGAGTTCCCTGGTATGAAGGATGGGCAGAGAATCCTTTTTTTTCGTCAGCCTGAGAGAAACCAGACTGGAGGATTTGTAAAAGGAGCAAGAGTCAGGCGCTCGGAATTGATGGCATTGTTGGGACTAGAAAGAAAGCTGGAAACTCATTTTGGCTTTCTTTTACACTGTATTGCTGAAGGTGAATTATTGTATGTTGTCTAGAGCACACTGGCAGACTACAACCGACAAGCCAGATTCAGCCCACCACCTATTTTTGTAAAAGTCTTACTGGAGCACAGCCACACCGATTCATTTACACGTGGCCTGTGGCTGCTTTCGCTGTGCAGTGGCAGACCTGTGACTTGGCAATGGAAACTAGCCCCAGAGCTGGAATATTTATTGTCTAGTCCTTTACAGAAAAATATTTTTAACTGCTGGTCTAGAAATTAGTATTTAATGTGTTTTTTCTTTGTAATATGTTAGTGGTAAGATGAGATGTATTCGTTCAGCTAGGGGGCTGAGATAAATCTTTAATAATGACAAGTTGGTAAGAACAGACGTTTGTCACCTAAAAACTGGTAAGTATGGATTTCTGTACTATTCAGAGTTCTAAAAAACAAATGTTTTGTATCATATTTTAGACGGTGACAAAAGGCGTGGAGTCTCTTGTTTGTACAGATTGGATTCGTCACAAATTTACAAAGTCAAGAATTCCAGATAAAGTAAGAACACGGTTTTGTTTTTCTGTTACTATTTTTTAAAAACATGTTTATGCTTTGAGAGGTACTGGTTTTTGTAATATTGAAAACTTTCATGTTAAATTATTTGTGGGTACAGTAGAAATGTAGAGTTTAAAACAGAGTAGGATTTATATAAATAATTATTAAAGACAAAGATGTGCCGCTGCCCATCTGAGTAGTTGGTTTTTATCATCTCAGAATCTGTGCAGGAATTACACTAAATATTAAGGCTTTTCCCCTTAAAATTTTATGTTTTCACATTGCCATTGTCCTGAGAAGACAGTGTGTCTTCCTCATGAATGTGTGGCTCACTTTCTGTATCAACTATTGCCGGTTTGAATCTTTGAGTTTTCTCTGCTAGATTGTGTGTACCTGTCTTTCTCTCGGAAAACACTGTTTAAGCTCTCAATAGATTTTTTAAACATTTTTTATTGATTTATAATCATTTTACAATGTTGTGTCAAATTCTAGTGTTCAGCACAATTTTTCAGTCATACATGGGCATATATACACTCATTATCACATTTTTTCCTCTGTGATTCCCTGTGCTATACAGTATAATCTTGTTTGTCTATTCTACAATTTTGAAATCCCAGTCTATCTCTTCCCACCCTCTGCCCCCCTGGCAACCACAAGTCTTTATTCTATGTCTATGAGTCTATTTCTGTCCTGTATTTATTCTTTGTTTTGTTTGTTTGTTTGTTTGTGTTTTTGTTTTTTAGATTCCACATATGAGTGATCTCATATGGTATTTTTCTTTCTCCTTCTGGCTTACTTCACTTAGAATGACATTCTCCAGGAGCATCCATGTTGCTGCAAATGGCGTTATATTGTCGGATTTTATGGCTGAGTAGTATTCCATTGTATAAATATACCACATCTTCTTTATCCAGTCACCTGTTGA